GAAAAACAAAACTGAGGAACACAGAGTAGCTGGGCAAGAAATTGAAGTGTTTTGGCCTGCCAAAATAAATCAGTGTCTTCTGCACTTTGAACACTAAGCACATTTTGACTCAGATAAAAAGCAAAGTCAGTGAGAATTATTTTTTGCTAATACCAGCACAAATCAGGATCAAACCTATCAAAATTCAAGAACTTAATCCTTTGAATTTGCATGTTATTCTGACATATCAATGCCAAAGTAATACAGATTGTGATTATGCTTCCACTTCATTTTTTTAATTCAAATTTCAGGATCTTTTACGTACTCAACTTTTTACATATAAGCTGTGATGCTAAAAAATTTATACTGCTGTGGTATCTAAGTAGCTCTGGGAACTTGAAATATAAAGACACATCCACTGCTATCCACTTCTAGCTTATTCAGAAGCTATTTCAAACATTTTTGGTCCATACAATTTAATTTCAATATTTTACAAATACTTACTTATCTTTCCAGTAGCCTATTATGCAAGCCTACATTTTGTAATATACTTATCTCTAATTAATGTAGCATTTCACTATGAGATTTGTAGGCATAAGAATAGCTAGGTATACTGTAGCAGCAACTTATAAGGTCCAACCTCTTCAAAAAGGGGACAAACAGAAGAAATAAAAATTTAGAATAGCTGTAAATAACACATGCTAGTGGGAATACTTAGTATTATCATCAATGCCATATGAGGATTTATTATTTCCATTTACAGACCTAGCCAGCAGTAATGTTGCGACAATATTTTATGTGCTACTTTCAATTTTTACCACCCTTTCTTCTTCATATAAAATGTGATAGAGGTAGTTGATTGCAATAACAGATTAGTAGCAGCTTGCCATTTTATTTCAGCTGTGCTGCTGCTTTCCATTGACCTGGAAAAAGCTCTCTTGCTTTTGAATTATGTTACTTGAAACAATAACGCAGTAAATGTCCAGATGTGTGGCCCTCCATAATATTTAACGTCTACAAACGTTTTCATTTTTCTATGGAAAATTCATGACTTGAATTAAAATGCAAGTTTAGGAAAACTTGGAAGTATTGTTCAGCAAGACAAATTTCATATAAGCGGACATTGCTATGAATGATCTTTCATTTTAATTCCACAGTTCTTCTTTGAACAATGTGGTGTCAGATGAAGCAGGCAAGCTAAATGATCACTCCTCTGTTTTGCAAATTGATAATCTAAATTACACAAATGTTCAGCTGTGACTTTTTAATCCATTATACCTGACTGAAACCATGATTTCAAAGAATCAGAAAACCTGTAGTTTAACTGGAGCATTTTGCATGTCTGTGGATTATATCCTCCATTCCCTCACATCTGTTCTTCAAATCCACTCTTGATCTGAATTATGTCAATGAGTATTTCAACTTTGCCTTCAGAGGTGGATTGGCTCTGCTGTGTAGAAACAGCTTTGGGGAGGAGTTAAATAAGCACTTTTTTTATTCTCATCTATAAGCCTCCCACTGATGTACTTTTCAGGGCGAGCCTTGAGGTATCCTGATTTGTATGCTAAAGAAAAGAAGCCAGGTTCAATAGGGTAAACTCCAACTATTCTACCTTCTCTACACTGAGACCACACAAAAGAGATCAGGTAGACAAGACTAAAAACATCCCCAACATCACATTGTCAATGTGTCAAACCCAGGCCACAAGCCTGAGCCCCACACGCCTCTCTAACCCCCTTAAATGTAAATGCAGGCAAAGAAGACCAGGTCTTGAAACTTGAAAGACCAAGGTTATTTGGGTTTGCCCCTCCACCCCTCTTTAAAAAAAAAAAAAAAAAAAAGCCAATAAACATAGACACACACAACCTCTCAAAAATCCCCAGGGATCTGAACCAGCTATGTAAAAAGCAATTGAATACAAAAGTAAATATAGGAAAAAAAAAAAAAAAACACACACACACACACACACAAATACTACAAGATTTAGCTTCCCCCTCCCCGCCACGATAATACGATAATTCAAATCACAAATGTCTGCAACAAAACTAACAAGGTGTCTCTAATCAAGGCTTAATTTGAGCACGTATACATGCATACTTGCTTTACCCTGGTAAACCACCCATGTCTTTCGGTCTGGGAAGTTAAGAGAAACATCTGTGCTCTGTGCCCCCTTGTGCCTTACAAAAAAGTTGTGCAGGGGTCTTATGTAGAGAAGCAAGAATCAAATTTCATCTATCTACAGTCTTCCCCAAGAGGATGGGAAAAAAAACCCACACACACAACTTTGCCCATAAATATCTGTTAGGATAAACTTCTTTGAAGTACAAGAGATCAAATGTGCAAAACGAACTAATCATTTAGTCTGCTATAAAGATACGTGTGTTGCTATTAGCAGTTCTGAAGGTCTTCATTCCCTCGTTCAATCTTCTGTTCTGAAGAAAAACTCTATGCTTCAGAAGTGATCTGTGCCAACAAAGACCTCCCTGCTTGTTTCGAGATGACAAGAAAAGCCTAGAAATACATCCTCCAAATGCCAGCCTTACACTGACATGAATCAGAGCAAAATAGCAGATAAATTCTTCCCTCCAGCAGCTATTGGTTTAAATAGACATTTTCTCAAGATGGTTCCCCTATAAAAAGGCTGAGGTAGTTCACTTGTTGCATAAATGAATGTTTTTTTTTTGTTTGTTTGTTTTTGTTTTTTTGTTTGTTTGTTTTTTAATTGGATAAATGAGAAGAGAGTGTTGTTTTATATAATAGCTAGGACATGTACCCTGGAAGCGTCTTCTTCCCAGTCCAGAGGGAATTCAAGTCCTTATGCCTTTTGGAAATACTCTAAGCATCAGGCTAGAGTTAACACACAACAAGTGAAATCAAACTAGTGCACAAGAGAAGTGCAGTGCAATGGGAATGAAAAGGGTCATAAGGCCTCAAGAGAAGGTCCACCTCTGGAAAACAAGGCTGCCACTTTTTGCAAACATTTCTCAGCATCTTCATTTCTACTAGTTTATTCATCATGAAGCAAGTCTGAAGACCACCCACCACAAGAGAAGACTTGGAGAGGAAATGTTTAATATTACATAAACTACTATAAAATCCAACAAAATTCCACAAACATTCTGTTGCCTTGAATTCTACACAGAGCAGGTAGAATGGACACACAAGTAACCAAAATTTCAACATTTTGATCTGTTTATAAAATTTCTTATTTCACTGCAAATTTTAAGTAAAATTGAATTACTCAGTGCATACTACCACCATGCACTTGGATAACATCACGATGAATGGGTTATAAAAATAAACTTATATAAAAATATATTCACATAAAGATAATTCTATATTTTTGCTGCTATCCTTCAAGTACATAGAATTAACTCCCTCCCCCCCCATAAACTGATCAACAGTATTATGAAAAAGAAACAGAGTGGAAGAACACATCTCTGGAGCTTATCTGCTACTGGAGCTACTCACTGCGATCCTCTGTAGTGAAATGAAACACACATCTTTCTTAAAATCCATTTCTATTTCTCAGATATTTAGACTGCATAAAGGCAAGTGTTGGTTATCAGTTAACCTAAAGTAATTAAAGAGGTGACTAAGTGTAAGAAATAATTATAAAACAGATCTGGTGACTTCAGTACAGTTTGTAAATATAAACCAAACTTTTCATTGGTAACAACTTGATTAACAGCACAATCTGT